GGGGGAGCGGCGCCGCGCCCGCCCTTAACAGCGGGGCCTTGGCGGGGCTGCCCGCGCCGCGCCTGATCGGAAGTGCCGYGGCCGCGCGTGAGGGAATGTCCTGAGGGGCAGCGACCCCCGGGGTGYTGATCCCGAAAAGCAGCCGCGACACAAGGCTGACCCTTTGGTCAAAGCAGGGACAAGCGCCGGGGCTTGCACGGCTGTGTRTGAGTTTTCATGGCAACCGGCAGAAACTGATGCASCGGAAGTTCCAGCTGAACATGCGGAAGWAGTTCTTCACCGTGCAGTGAGCGAGCGCTGGAGCAGATTGCCCAGAGAGTGTGGAGCSTTCCTCACTGGAGATRTTTAAGMGCTGTCTGGATGCAATCCTGTGCCATGTGCTCCAGGATGACCCTGCTCGAGCAGAGAAGTTGGAYYAGATSGTCCCTTGYGGTCCCTTCCAGCCTGACCCATTCTGTGATTCTCTGAGATGGGAGTGGGAGCTGTTTGGCATCGGGGATGGCGGGGAACAGGGAAGGMGAGCCCGGTGGCTGTCAGGGATCCCGAGGAGGGAATCGTGCGGCGAGTAGCTGGCCCACCTTCCATAAGAAGTTAAGTTTGGAAATGTAAAGCATAAGCAGCCAGCGGGGTGTCTTACGACAGGGAAGCTGTACACCAACATTTAAATTTGCAGCAGTGCGAGCCTGTTGCCCTGCTGTGTGTCAGTCACGGCTGCCCGACCGGAGATCCCGGATTCCCGGGCAGGGAAGCGAAGTGGGAGAAGCACGCCAGCACCGGAGGCGAAGAGGTTCTGCAGGTTTGGGGCTTCTTATTATTGCAGTGAGGTTTCTTCGTATTATGATGCCCTGATCTCCAGTTTGTGTGGCAGCGATTGCTACTCGATGAATAAATCCCGGATTCTCCACAAGGAGCCCTTACAGTGCCAMGGGTTGCATGGGCTGCCAGGTGCCTGAGAAGGAAGGGAATGGTGAGCAGGTTCCCGAGCTGGCAGTGACTCACTGTGTTTGTGCATCTCCAGTATCGGAGCAGACAGGAATCACCATGGGAAGCTGATTGTAGTGAGTCAAGAGGGCCTCCTTCCCCCAAGCTAAACATGCAGGGACGGTTCAAAACTTGTCTCAGCGAGGAGTTGCCCTGCTGCAGAAATTTTTGTTTTGAATGAACGAAGCACTTATTTAATTTAGGGGAGGGATGATTACTTAAAGAGGCATATAAAAACATACTTGATCCTCTGACTAACTTCACAGCTGTACTAATGTTGTCTTGCAAAACTCAAGGCCTTTCAATTAGTACTTTAAAGCAAGTTTTATATTTATGGATCGCAAGAATGGATGTGGAGGATTAAATATGCTATCAGGCTCTGCTTGCAGAGCTACCTGACAGGACATGTTCTGACAGACAGGTCCCATCTCTGCCCAAAAATTTTTTGAATTAGTGTTACATTTAGAAAAATGTGTCTATACTCCAGCTCTGCACCAGGAAAATTTTGAATTTTTCAGTGCCTGATATCTATGCAGTGAAAAATCGATATAATTTAATATGCATTCAGCCTAGGTACAATGAAACTTTTCCAAGCATGAGGATCATTACAAGCCTGAGCAGCTCTAAGGTGAGGAAGTGCATTGGCAACAGATTTCAGGGAGGATATCAAGCAAAGACAGGAAGCCAAATCGTAAAAGGCTGTATTGGATAAAGGAAGCTAGRCATTTGCAGTGAATGAGCTGAATGCCTTAATCTTACCAGTGGTTTACATGGAGGGCAAATCTCCACATCGATCTGGAAGGAATGGGGAAGAAACACCACATCCACATACAGAACACATATGGAAACATGTATGGAAAGTGTCATAACAGAGCAGTAACTGTGAACTTACTTGAACTCTGCTCTGTTTGTGGAAAAGTAGCACATTCAGGATTTGCTATAGTTTTTCCTGAATA